CTTGTTGACCACTCCCATGTTCTTCACTTTGGATTATCTGCCTTACATTCCCATCCTTAAAACAGGTCCACTTTTTGAATGATTTTCACCAAGGTCAACGAACATCATTTTACCCTTGTTTCATCTTCACCCTTTTGTCCTCATTGACCAAAACGAAGTGGTTACGGAACTAGAAAGATCCCTTTTTGGGAGCACGAGTTTTTCCGTATTTTTTTTTTAAATATCTTCCACCTTTCTATTCCCGTGCCTCCCTCTACAACGTGTTTTTCACTTGACTGAAGTCTGTAGTATATCTGTTTAAAAGCTTTTGCAACAATATGAACCGGAAAGAATAGTCCATGAAGTGGCCAGCCTGTTGCCATTAACAAACGCCAACACAGCCATTTCCGCAGTTTTTTTAATGTCCGATGGAAATCATTGTTTGTGGTAACCTTTGAGTTAATCCTCAGAGACTCGTTTGTTTGTAAGTGCACGGGAAAAGACAGTTTGAACTGTGCGCCCCGGTTTGTAAACCATCAAAACAAAATCACCAAGACAACTAAAAGGTGATGCGTGTAGTTTCAGTGTCATAACAACCATGAGGGGGGGAGGAACTGTTACACTTGCCGGATCTACCACACCTGATACCGTTCAATCTTTATCTACCTCATCCGCAAAACAACCACTGAGAGCAAAAAACAGAGAGCAGGTAATTTGAAATCACCTGAATAGCACACTTCTGTGGCTTGAACTATCGGGATTATACTCGAGAATTGACTATTTTTACATTTTTTTCTAAATAATCGGACATGTAAGAGGTTCGGCAAACGCGTTACTCACTGTAGGTTCCATCCGTGAGAACAAGTGTGTAAACATGTTTTCCAATTTCATTGCTAAAGGAGCTCACGGTATATATATATATATATATACATATATATATATATACTCAGGACGTCTAGCAGGAAACGTTTTCTGATTCCCAAATTGGACTGGCTCAATACTCAAATAATTTAGTTTAAAAGAAACATTTTACAATTGTTGGAAATGGCACGTTCTGAATTGGAGTTGACTGATGAACATTCATAGCTGCGTGCCACTTAGTAAGTACCTAGGTCGCAAAACCGATTTCGGAATTGGTGTCTAGTCATAAATACGATGAAATCAAACGGAATACATAAGCGGCGGAGTATGAGGAGGAAGTAGAGTTAGTACCTGGTAATCCTCTTACCTACAAAAAACAGAAAGAGTCTACCGAGGATACAGGGAACAGGGAAAAGGTACCCGCACCCCAAAGAAGGTCGTCGTTTATGTCCCGCTCCATCTAGTCGACAAGGCTCTGCAGATGAGATGAGACTACGTGTGACTGAAGTCTTTGTGATGACTGGCAAAGAGCACTGGACGGCTGTTTTGTTCTATTGTCGACTAGTCAGTAGTGCGTTCGTTTCGTGTCCCAGTCCGGACTCGAGCGATAAACGGTCGGGTTGAGAGTCACTAGCAATACCTGATGCCTTTAAAAAGCCGAATAGGCTAATCCAAACTGTCCACATTGATTGAATCATTCGCACAAGAGGATGACTTTCAGCCGAACAGCTCATGCGCAGTCACTCACTGGTAATTTTAGTCATCCGTTCCTTACAAACTAGTTTGCTTAGAGCGTGTAAGGCTTGAATGTGACGGAACAATTACCGGGGGAAACGCAAATCGAAGGCTTATTTTGCGGAAAACCACGTTTTTACCATGTCTTCTGTGTACGATGCGAACTTCATAACCCAAAAAACAATTTTATCCTATCATAACGCTATCGCGATACCTTCCAGGACTGCAAACTGAGAGTTTCCATCAAAGAAATTTGTACGCACTACCACTGCATATATCTGTGATGATCGAAAATAGTCTAAAAGTCGTATCAACAGTTCACCGATTCATCCGGACTGTCGAGCTTGAAAATCGTCTTCGTTGAATTTTTCTCCGGCTCCGTCCATGTAGTGTGGTTGTCTATTCACTGCATCCTTAACTGCACACGATTCGGATTTCGTTATGGCACTTTCCTCGATTGCCTTTATTCCGGATTCAGAGTCTGTTGAAGTATTTGTATCTGGATGTATTGGCCAGAGATTTAGCAACTGCCGTTTTAGAGCAGGGCATTCTGATTGTAAAACTTATTCAGTAGGCTGCCACATATACACATTCGTGATCTGAGAGCGATTCTCTTAGAACCCTAATCCGTTTACCAGAAGGAAGCATTCCACAGAGGCCAAACCCCTTTGCATGTAGATAAACTGTTCTTGCTGTTCACCGAATATTGCCCAGGACGTTGACCCCACCAAAAAAGGACGTCTATTTGCACAAGTGACAGTGATTTTTCCATCGCGCTCAGGTTGGCCTTTTACGCATTTCGCATCTTTAAAACACCATCCCGTCCAGGAACCGATCTAGATACTATGAAATAAAAACTTATTGCGTGTTCCAAGGCCGAGGTAACACAACAATGAATAATATTGTTAGATCACATCCACTGTCACAAAATGAGGATTCCGAGTAAAGCGGTTTCGTCTACATGTGGACGAATCTATGGGTGACATTGAGAGCTGTCCTCGGGGTCTACATAATTATCCATTTAGTTCGCGTCTGTGTCGGGTCAGAAACCGGAGACAGTTTTGATAAACCATGCTTTTGTGGAATCATTCAGAATAATCCTGTAATGGATATCCCAAGTGAATGCACGAAGAAATATCCAATGATGTAACTGTAAGGCATGACCCATTGCGTATAGATTAGTTTTATACGGCGGAAATTGGTTTACCTGTCCCACATTAGACTTGTGTATCAAACAAGATTGAAACCAAACTTGGGCGGAAGCGAAGTCGTCATCTGTAAGAGACACATAACACCGAACAAAAGAACGCGGATCGAACCAGTGAATCGATACTTGATGGAGTAAGTGGGCGAGTGAGTCAGTGATTAGTCAATGGGAAAGCCCACAACGCGCATCCACAGAAAGGTGAATCCAAAGGTAAACACCTGTTCGTCAGGCAATAACCGAAGACAGAGAACGGGTAGGGGGTCGGAGAGAAAATGGACCACAAACGATTGGAAAGTCAATGTGAACATTCTGGCATTTGGGCAACCCCGCGGTAGAATGTTAGCGCCGTTTGTGCAAAAACTGGTCTTCAAACCAGACGAGGCTGCTTGTGCACCAGGAATAACGTGTCAAATCGCGCAAAAACATCACCAAACCAAAAATGTAAGAATGGAATAAAGAGCGAGAGCGAGAGAGAAAGAGGTGAACGGTAGTCATAGCGCAAGAACAATGGGCTGTCCGTATCCATTAGATTGAAAAAATGCTGACTGGTTTGGATTTTGAAGAATATCTCGAACATCGTTGTTATCGTGAATGTAAAGGCGTTCGGGAGTGTTTGTTGCCGTGTCCATCTGAGTCGCGTGATATGTTGGCATCTAAAACGAGGGACTGTATGGCTCCTGAATAATTGTCTCAGTAGACAACAGTGTGTGTGTGATGAGGGGCCAGGATGAGGGTACATGATGAATGCGTAATAGGATGATCCGATGAGATCACGTGACACAGAAGCCGTGGAGACAACCGTACTAATCGGTAGATTTGTCTCGTTTACAAACCAGGACAAGTGTCGCAATTACCAGAAATACCTGAAAAGAAAAAGAACAATCAGAGGAGGAATTGATTGAAGTAAAATGAAGCCCGGTTAACTTTAATCATTCATATCTGTCGTGCTATGCAAATGCATTTCACTTCTGAGCCATTGAACGAGTAAACATCATTAAAAAAAATCAATTTTTCCTCACATTTTTCTTGACAAGCACATAACAATTTCAGATATTTATGATAAAACAGACAAATCGGGAGAAAGCGAGAGAGAGTGCACCTGATTTATCCAACTTTACCATCTAATTATGAAAACGATGGGACGCTTGGGCAACAACAATTTAGCTTTCATCTTCTAGTGAAAAATCCGGATTTTAGCCATCATTGGCACTGATGCAAATCAGGTGTTGGTTTTTTACACAGATGAATGATGATTGTGGAATTGGTAGTCTTCAAGATATCTAAATTGTGCTATCTCTCCCAAGGTACAAAATTTATACCATTCTCAGCTATACACAGTTCCACATTTGCTCTCCTCGCTACCAGCTCTATCCTCCCAACGTATGATTCGCTTTGTTCCGGGTTTGAGTTTTTTGGTCGCTCCACCTGATAGTGCGTTTCACTGCGTCCATCTCCAAAATTCGCACTTAAAACCCTGGGTGGCAAATTGTATTTTCCGGTATTCGGTCGACAGTCAAGGTGATTGCAACCTAAATCAATGAACCGCTTCATGCCCCAGAAACTATTTGTACGAATATCTATTCATAATCGAAGAATATCATCGCTCTTCTTCGACCCTCAGTAAGCTGTTCATTCATCTATATAGATAAATATACACATATGTACGTCCCACACACGTCATGAGGCATAATTCCATCGTCTCTATGCACAAAGGTCACTTTCTTGTCAGTTACTCCCCCACCCACACACACAATCGTATCACTGATAATCGGTGCTGTATTCAGCCAACCGGTGAAGCACTGAAACACAAGCCAACGTTGCTCTCCCTCTGATCGGTTAATCCGGAATTCCTCTTGTTCAGGAAAAAGCTGTTGAAAAATACTCGTATATAAAAAGATAAAAGTTTTGTATTCAAAAGCCATTAAGGACTATTGAATCTGTCGTCAAATGTTGAAACCAAATTATGTGATTTTACCACAGGACGTTGATTACTGACCCAAATGCTCATAGTTAATTCTACGCGGTGTGCGGTTTGAATATTTGCTAGTTTATTTTACGGAAGTGGTAGACTAAGACAAACCAGTGTGTTTCTCTCTTACACCCCCATCTGTGGCGATCCACGCGTCCGAGATAACGCCAGCTTAGGGGATAAGCGGTAAAGCATCCGGACAACGAATCACCGGTCCATAGCATCGACCAATCAAAAGGCGTTCGGTTCAAACAGAAGTAGTATGACGAATAGAATACAAACAGGCGATTGACGAGTATCTACCCGTCTGGGATCGCTGTAAGAATTTGGTCAAATCGTTTCAACCGTTAGTTATCAAAATGGTCACATTCAACGAGAGACAGTCATGCAAGAATACCGATAGACGCAGTTCGACGTTCGAGGCTGGTCGCTCACACTATTGGTGTTTCACGCGCACATTTTAGTTCGCATTTGTGTTGCTAGTCGCATCAGAGAACAGTTGTACGGTGCGCACACACGTATGCTGATTAGCTTCGCGAGTTTGGCCAACACTCAGTCGGTACAGTTTTTGTGCCACAGGAAATACTCTGGTCTGCGTGTGTGCGAGGACGAGGGGGGAAAGAGGAGGTATGTGGACATTCCCTAACCTTCAAAGCCATGACAACCGATCATATAAATGTTATTGATCTGGAGAGAATCGAAGCAAATGAGGTATGAGCTACGAGGCAATTTTCATACTGATCTATTCACAAGCCGTATTAATGTTGAGGCCTTTCACTCAGCATCGTCCCACAGACTCGAAGAATTCAACAAAACAAAACATAATCTGTGGTAAATTAGTCACACAATTCAGTGGCACATCCTTCGGTGTTTTTAGATTCTTCCTCTAGTTTGATAGACATTTCCAATGATAGGCAGCTAGCTGTTAAAGGATATCTCCAAATGACTTTGTCGTGTTTAGAGCCTTTCTGTCCATCAGTAGAACGGTCTAGCAGACTCGAGGCAGAAGCTAAAATACTTCAATTATTCTACGTGACGGATGTGGATGCCGCTTTATTTGGCATTCATTCCGAGAAACAAATTTAGTACCGATATTGGTCAGCAGTGATTTAAAAGCATTGTCGCTATTTTATGAATTAAATCACCGGTTTATGACCATACAAGCGGATTCTCGAATATCGAACAACTCCAAAGCCACACGCGATCGTGTGTAATACTTCCCTTGGGCTTATTCTGCTCGCTCTAATCGAAGTGAATGGGTTTGTCAGATTAACCTAGAAAAACAGGTTCAAATAACCACTCCGGTTTGCTTTTTGTTTGGGTTTCAACTGGATTCCCAAAGGTAAATTTTGTCCCATTATCGTATACTGTAACGAACACCTACATCACCACCATTGATATCATCATCGAAAGTAAGAAAGTAAACCGCTTTCAACGGTAGCCAGGGGATTTGCCAGTTCTCTTCAGCTTAAAACATTTAAATGGGACTTGGATATCGGTCCTATGTAGTAGTAGGAGTGGATAACTTTCTGCATTGGGTGATCAACCGTTCTAATAGCTAGAATGAGGACTGTTGAATGCGACTTACATGTTCAGCAATTTGCGAGATAAGAACATTCATTCAGTGAGATTCAGCCTACATTTCACTTTTCGACTATGAAAATGATCCTGTTTGTCGTCACAAGCGGACTGACACCGGGGCACCAACACACACACACACCTTGATCGGCCCGTGTCCGGTTGCTCCGACTCGGACCAAGTCGCTCTCTAATCTGCCGCCGGTGACTCACTCACCTGCAATCCGATAATCCCCAAACAGACATAGGCCACAATGCGACCGTATTGATCCAGCTCGGTTTGAAGCAGAGGCCAACAGCCCTGATTGATGTTGCTGTTGCTGGAGTTGAAATCGACCGGACAGTTGGCCTGCGGTTTGTAACTGCCATCAAACTTGCAGCAAGGGACCGGATATCTCAAAGCTAGAGACAGCGAGAGAGAGAGAGAGAGAGACAAGTGATAATGAAAGAACAAATGCTTCAGCAAAAGAGGGATAAACCAAACCAAGTTCCGGTGACAAAACCTGCAATCCACTGATCTTTAATGCTTTTGTATGATAGATACATTTAGCATAAGTTTGCATAAACGTGACATCTGAGAGTATAATTAAATTCACTTCTACTGAAATAACTAAGCAGCACGCCTATGAGAAAGCAGGTGATGAAAAAACAGGTGTACGAGAATGATGACATTCAGCCAAAGCGGAGAGTGCTCTGGACTAGCTGGCCAGGGGTTCTACATCCGTCGCACCGTATACACTTTATTGTCTGGAAATTCCTGACAAAGATATTACACGTGCGAATTGTTTAAGAATCTTATGTAGTAAACGACAAGAGCAGAATGGTTTGTAAATTTGGCGAATGTACACGAATAAGTTCTGGTGAAATGAACTCGTTGAAGATGAACTGACGATCTTTGTGACACTCACCACAGGATAACATTCGAGTGAGGAAGAGTGGGTAGATCTTTATGATGGCACATATTTAGCAAGGATCCCATAGTGATATGTATATATGTAAGTTTTGATCGACCTCGTGCACTATACGTCAGTTTGATTTGCGGTAACTGTCATTCTCGAAATGCATTTGCAGAGGACATGTTTTTCCCAGATAAAAGTTAGTATGACAGCTTGCTCGAGGTTGGTCGTAGAAAACTTTTAAACTCCATTAACCATTGATTTTTTGCATATTTATGTCGAATTCATTCAATTATAAGGGGCCAGTTGGGATTTCAACAAAAGCACAGAGCAAGACTTACTGATCTGCTGTCCGTTGTAAGAGTAATCCCGCTGAAATGTTGTGGATTGGTCAAAGTCAGACCCGTTCATAACACCGCAACATTTCATCTAGAAAACAAAAACGTGTCGTTTATGTGAACTTTCGGGATACACGTCATGGTTTGGTTGATTGAGTATAGAATGAGCATTGGTAAAACAGATAGATGATACAAAACACCCACAATAGCAGAATTCACGGTCAATCTATTGAGCATGTTACTTTTTGCCTGAGCTGAGTGGCGCATGACAATCGAAAACAGCTACGTTTTTCATTTTTCTTCTTTCAGTATTTCTAGTCGGAAATATTCCTCCACGAGAAAATCTCTCATCACCCAACCCAAATTACAAAAGTACATCCACTACCTGTCTCTTATGGAAACAGAATTCACTGTGGTACACTTGTAAGAGATGACCACAACCTCATTCCCGGTTAGCTGGCTGACCTTGAAAACAGTACAAGTGACGTCCATCACCAAGACAACCGTGAAGATCATTCCGTTATGGTCGTGGAGATTTATGTGGAAACCATTTTCCGATTTTGGTGTGTCGTTTTCGTTTAGTTTGATGAGAGATGGTTACCACAATGAACCATGAAGCCAACGCCACTGGGGTCACCAGCATCTGATCGTTTCACCATTGAATTACGTGAGAACTCATCCATTTTTAATTAACTACCAAATCAATTTATTGAGAAAATTCCGACATTGAAGCATTTAATACTTACTTGATGTAAAAGAAAACAAAAACAAAGCTAAGTCCAACTGGAAACCTCATAATTATTCTCCAGTTAGTTCCCGTCGATTGAGAGGCAAGATTTCTCTCGAAATGACCCAAATTCAATTCCCCGTGGGCGGGCAGAGTCAAAATGGTGTGCAATGCTACCCCAGTTTTCATTTAACATATGCTTTGAACTCTGCATTCCCGTCTCAATCTGTTTCACCTGGATATCCGGAAAAACACTAAGGATAAAGGAGATATTGGCAAACTAGAAGAAAACAACGATTGATTTGCAATCTGGGTGGACGTGTGTGTGTGTGTGTGTGTGTGTGTGTGTGTGTGTGTGTGCGTCACTTACTGCGGGCATGACGAAGGTCAATAGTGAACTGTACACATCGGTTGAGTTGATAGACACGTAGTTGTTCACACTGTCCGCCATTATCGTCTTCGCGTTATCCGTGATCTGAGGGCGAGATACAAACAGGAGTTGGCTATTCACTGAATTGAAGTAGAGTACACNCGAATTACGATACCGGAGTCTTTAATAATTCTTATTGAAAGAAATGTTACTGGCGGGAAAACGGCTAATCGGAAATGTATTTTGCTGCTTCCCCACTGGCTTCATGAAGTGGCTGTATTTGGTAAAAGGATCGTTTATGCTCAACTAGCTCTCACTAAGCTAACAACATGATGAGTTTAGAAAAAAAACTCGAGGAACATCATTTCTGATCCTAAACACGAAAACGTTCCCAACGCATGAGTAACTTGTACTGAATTTGTGTCAGATGGTACAAATCATTGTCCATAGTTACGCGATATATTGCTTATCAGTTTCTCAGCCTAATCAAAACAGGAGAAAAGCAGATGAGACAAACGTTTCTCGGCTTAGTTTATACAAATAAGATCAAAATTGGAAACTGAAAACCCCAAACGTTGCCGAAAATTGACCATATATTCTACTGTCGACCACGTAAAGTGAAGCTCGTAGGAGACTCAGATTCTAACACCAACGGAGGATCAATCCGCTACTGGGTGCCGCTTCCTATAGTGAATCGGTGAGTGTCGTCTAGGTATCAAACTTTCAATATTTTTTCAGTAAATTAGTGGTCGCGGGCGAACAGCTATGTCTGAATGTATGGCCTCCGAAAGCCTCAGTATGGTCGAGGTTGGGTGTCTATGGTTGCGGCTGGTCACCCTTGCACATCGTGAAATGCTCCCATACGACCAAGCGTCTCAACTAGCCTCGGCTGGCGGTGTTTCCCATCAAAGTGAGAGAACGAAAAGCCGCCATCCGGGGTTATAACCGGGTTGGTGGACCACTGGCAGTTCACCTAGAGGAGTTCGACAAAAACCCTGCTTCCAAATCAACCATGAGGAAGCGTACGAACCACACACACAACTTCCTGATTGTAGCAATGGTCACCGGCTCGATTAGGCATTAAGGTTTATTGGGCACCTTGGATGTTTGACTCTAGCCGAAGGGTCTATGATCCGATGAACTGGACACCGACTCCCAAAGAACTGCGGTTTTCACACACCGCCCCGCTGCCTTGCGGGTCAGGCTTTGGCTGACCGAAGGCTTTGGTTGTGGATTCCTCAAGAAAATTCACCTGCCTTTGCCTGGGCAACCTGGCAGTATTCCGCCCACATGCAAATCACGGAACATTTTTCTTTTTTATAAAGATTATTGCACCATGATTTGTTTGGCACAAAATCTGGATTCAGACGTGTGCGAAAATGCAACATATAATATAGGGCGTGGTTTAGCTTGACACACAGGCACTATCTCTATGCAACAATACTGCACACGGGTTCATCGTACCTAATTGGATGCAGACCGGGCACCATTTTGCCCTACAGGTAACACTTCGATGAGCCAGGATAAAGGTTCATTCTCAAAGAAAAAGGCCTAATAAGGCCGTACTTCCAAGATCCATTATGGGTTCTTCCGCGATGCTCCGTGGTCCTCATTTAGGAGCAATTTGCCCAGATGAGGAACAAATTACGATTCTCGGTTAGGAGTGAAATCAACTGATCATATTATGTTGTCGTATTTTAGTGTTTCTGGCACAAAACCCTTAATTTGTAGAGAATTAGTATAACACTCAGAAAAATGCTCAAGGTGCCACTTATGGCCTGGCATAAAATCCGGAGCTAAAGTTGAAGACGGCGCAGGGACAATTCACACATCGGTCGATATGGCAACAATTAGTTCATCTCGTTCGAATAAAAAGGAGATCCAATTCGTTTGTTTTTCGTTCATGATACACTATAGAATGAATATATATAATCACGTGATAAAAAGACCGGTGAAAGGATATGTACAAGCGAAATTGAAACACAGTGGAGAAAGCATAACTTCACTTACGATTGACGGTTTTGCCAGATAAATAATTACCACAAGCAGTTCGGCAAGTAACAAAACTCCATGAAGGACGAGGTACTGAAAAGATGATTAGGAAAATGTGACAGAATAGTTTTGGGGTTCATTTCTCGACCCAGTTACATCATAAAAATCATCCAACTAGGTTAAATCGAGTTGGATTAATTATTCATACAATGAACCGTTTCAGATGTTGTCTTTACAAGGCACCTCAATCAGAAGCATCACAATACTGCGCACCAAATAAAATGCATTAAAAAATAATATCCGCTGTAAGAGGCTGGTCACCACATTTAGTTGAATGCTTCCAAATATTGGCTGATCAAACCTACAGATTCTACACCTGAAATCCGATACCACGTCTGCGTCAAAGTCCATTGATAAGTTCATCCGCTTATTGGAACTTCGTCGTGAATTACAACCACTCCCAACGAGACCACGAAGGCTTTGAGGAGAGACATCATCCAATCGTAGTCCCTCTCGGCAGGCAATCAGTGTCAGATTTGTAGCAGTATTAATAAACTGTAAACTGTAGAAAACTGAGAATTTAACTATGGACAGACGACATCCCATAATGAGCACAGATTTCTCCCCCGCAAAGCTGAATAAATCATGGAGTTTGTTTCTGTGCTCGGATTCGCACTCTGGGTGGGTAAAGAGTTTGGTTGTAAAGCGAAGGGATTAATCGACACGAATTAGGAGAAGTTATCAACATCCAAAGGCTCTTGAAACACGCACACATCACGCGATGTTTTTGTGGGATGCTACATATATAGGAGAACTAAAGCCCGCCGAAAGCTAGACATTCACTTCTTTCGAATACAGATTACATGTTCGTAACCTAATTTAGAGGTACTCAAGTATACCGAGAAGCTATCCGTCCCCCTCAGTTTATTTATTGTTTTTCTGCGTAGTGCAACCGATTGATCTCTGTGTATCAAAGACCACGTGACCGGAAACTACTTACTCCAATCTTGAAAAATCCTACTCTGTATCTGCCGTTTTAACAGTGAATAAAGAGTAAAAATACCGGTTGTACTAAAAAAGACTCTTCAAATTGTGTCCCTGGATGATCCGTCATTGTTGCCTGCTCGCCCGAGAAACGCGATGCCATTAGTTCCCCCTTCATAAGCATCCAATTCAGGGGAAATACATGTTGACACTCGTACCCCCTGTTCTTTCGCCTTTTTCAGGTCATAAGGTCATAATCTCGAGTTGGTTGTTTGCCCAAAAAAATAATAATCACAGGAGAAAAAGCTCAGCTTCGAGTCCGATCAACGCTGAGCATTGCTTATATATAAGCGGCAAAGATCTCACAAACGTAGCACTGCATTCAACAACTGCTCTCAACTGCCAACTGGCTAAGTATTCCTCCCATTTATTACGTCCATCTATTCCGAAAGATAACCATGTAAATAAACTCGGTTACATTCCTGGATGGAATAAGATAATTAAAGTTCAAACCGATGGAAAAAATGGTGTCCTTCGACGTCACATCTCTGTTGACAAACATCCCCGTCTTCCAGAAAGGACACCACTGTCGGGGACTGAAATCACGGAACTGCTTGAACTGTGCATAAAAACATATCTACAGTTTGACGGGAGAGTATACCGACAGGTGAAAGACACCCAAAAGTGATAATCAATCTCCGGCCTACTAGTTGATGCGGTGATGAAACAATTTGAAGTCAGCAAAATGGATCGAACAATTCCGTGATGATCTAAACAAAGTTATGCCAGAGAATGCATTTACCCACGAGAAGGAAAACGATATGAGACTCCCTTCCTTGGACATCCTCGTCATACGAAAACCAGACGGAAACACAGAAATTCCGGTGCATAGGATTACCTATGACAACCGATCAGATGCTGAACTACGATAGCAATCATCCAGCGTGTCACCTAAGAGGATGTTCCGCGGTGCGGACACACTTCAACATAGAAGTACTCGGGCGTCAAGATCGACTGCATTTGTTTCATCAGTGCCTACAAATGGATACCCGAAAAGTTTCGTCCAACTAAACCTTAGAAGGAAAAGAGAACCGAAGGATGAAGAGAAGAAAACGAATCTCTTACTACGTGAGGGATCATTGCTCAACGCTGCGGGCAATTTTGCCCAACGACGAGGACCACGTAGAATCACAGGACCAATCAGGGGTGGTGTACGCAATTCTATGCCTGGACTGTAACCAACGTTACGTAGGAGAGACGGGCAAACAACTGTGCACTTGCCTACAAGGACACACACTTGCATTACAACGTGCTGACCCACAGTCACAACTCCGGAATCACGGCGCAACGACAGATCACCAGGTCAGAATCAACGATGCAAAAGTTGAGCAAAGGCACAGAGGACGGGGGATTATTTGATCTCTGAAGTTATCAATTCGACTGACTCATTCAGTTGACATGTCGAAATCGATTAATATTATACAACGATTGTACAACCAATGATGAACGAGGGATTGATGAACATGTGCGACGAAAACCACAGCGCGAGATACAAATATACCCAATTCATTCACTCGTATTATCGTTTGACAACGAGCCCTAGTCTAGGTCGAAACGTTACAATAAATACTAACCCTCCACACTCGCCTTCTTCCTCTCAGAAAATATGTCTAGGGTGAATTGCCCATCTAACCAAACCGCACACCTTCATTCTCATTGAGTTTATTGGCAATCGATTTGAAACGTAGATAGGAGTAGGTGACTTTTGAAATACAACACGAGTCTTTGTTGCAGTGAACAAACTCTAAAACATACTTTTCACCTTGGGCAATCCACTCTATGGGTAGGTATTACTGAAGAGCTAATGCGTACGGGCCACACCCTGAAAACAAAAATTGATAGATAATTCACTACTGAACGTAAGCAACGATCTACATTATTTATGATGTGACGATGAGCCAGATGGGGCTTACTTTGACGAGCAGCTGATCCAATCCCCGATAAGAGGTGAGCAGTGTCCCGGTAAAATAAAAGTGCGACAACTGTGCAGGATATAACATCGAATTATATACACATATACGATTTGGTCGCTTCACAGGCATGCACGATCGTGTGGGCGATTCCCATTCGTTTGGACAATGAATCGTGCTTTTAATTTTATTTACCTCTTTTATAATTTTATCTCTAGTAGCCTGTCACACCCTTTATAGCGCTTGTGGTGATGGCAACCAAACGGGGTTGGTCACCATCATATCACAAACAGAGGTCGTGGGTTCGAAACCCACCATTGCGACCGCGGCCTAACTTCCGCTTTCCTTTATATCCCAGGGTGATCCTTCTATTTGCCGCCTCCTCGTTCTATCGTTTATTTAATAAAACGGAAAACAAGAATTTAAAAATATCATAATGCTAAAACTAGGGCGTATAAAGTTTTACACAATGGAAACTTTAGACGGAATACGGAAAACTCACCAGCGTCAGAAGACNGACTATTCACGCAAGCACCGGCCAAGCCCAGGCAACACAGTACCAGTAAAACTATTCCTACGATGAAGATGGCCAGTCCGAATGGAGCTAATTGATTTGACCGAAGGGTTGTATGAAATAGAAACAGCGAGAGAGACAGAGATTATTACCAGAGTATAATGTTCCCCCAGGTTTTCATTTCAAGCTTTATTTGACTTGATCGTTGGCCCATTCTAACATGGCATTAAGATCATATGAGGTGGTGTCTAACTCACAAAGACACCAACACTATAACCGAAATGTTTAAAGGAATCTTTTTTTCATTTTTCGCCATCCCCTTTTTCAACCTAAAAATCCAAAAGCACAATCAGTTCGAGTTCGAAACTGTTCGGAATGAGACATATGGCGTCGAACAGTCCCATATGGTCTGAAAGCTTTGGCAACACTGAGCAGTCACATGACCACTGTCGAGTATCAAATGCATTCACCAGTTAACTGTCGCCGGAACGAACCTAACTCGTCTAGTACTTGATATCTGGATCCAACGGAGCGGTACGATACCGGGTTCGCTGGATAGGCAATTTTGGTCGGTGAGCAACCATGTCCGAGGACATGGTAGGTTTTCGTTTGATGGGCTATTTTTGTATGACAAAATATGCTTCAAATTATTGAGAGCAATAAGAAGCAACTGAACAATCAACTGTAACTTAGTTTTCAACCAGATGGCTTGACGGACACACTGTGATGTACCTACGTGTTTTGTGGAATCAAGTGTTGACAGATGATGTGCATCGTTTGGTTGGTTGATCAGGTCAGCTAACGGTATAGCGCAGAACAAGTGAAACCCGTGATTCGAAGAACTTCCGTGCAGATGGTTAGCTGTTTTGTATTATAAACTAAATTAGTAAGCCACATGAGGAACCAAATGCAGATTAGATACATGGAACTAGATTAAAGCAAAGCTGCTTACGATTAAACGCGGAGGGGGGGGTAGAGTGAGTGCAGTTAATAACCAAAAAGATGATAGCAAAGTTACTTGGAAAAATTAGTTACAACAAACGCTTCGTCATTCATTTGCATTTTGTTTTACTAGCATTTGTTGATAACATACGGTCATCTGGGCAAACTTTAAAGAGTTCAATTGATTTCTTTCAGCAGTGAAATGAAAAACACAGCCGAATCAGAAAAAATGCATGAATCATTTGAATTAATAGCAGGACGGAATAAAAGAGTCACGCACACAACATTTTGATAATTTTCTCAATGGCCGCTTGGGTCTGTGCAGCATTTGCCACACCGTTCATCGACGAATAGAGATGATTGCGAAGCAGTGTGTAGACCATTTGTATATTCCAGGCCAGAAACCCGCCGACGATGCAAAATATCACGGCAACAATCTGTAACGATCATACAAATCAGAGGAACAGTGGGAAGGGGACGGAAAATTTGTAGAGTCAACTCATTGGAAGTTTAATGGAAAATTAAAGCTTAATTAGGGAAAAGAGGGCCAAAACGGAAAAAATTATGCAATTGGAATGCCAAGCTGGGAGTCAAACCAAGTTTGAGTTTTAAATCTCTCTCTATATGGTTCTCCGTCACTCCAGCGACTATCCAGGTATCTAACCTTTGCACCTTCTCAATGCCATGTATGTTCTTACTAAAGTGAGATGTCTAACTTGCATGCAGTATTCCTATGCGGTCTATTTATGGCCTTATATTGATTGACAATTCAAAACCTCTGCCTATCTCAACAACTGAGCGGTCATGAACTGGAATAGTTGCCCCGCCTTTTGAGAGGCCGCCCGGCATTGATCACTGGGTAAGCCCAGTCCTCGCGAGTTACATTCGCTGGGTTCATCATTCAGCCGACCCGACTGAAGCCTGGAAATTTCTGGTTGGTGGACCACGAGACCGGTAGTCTCTTAGTCTTTGGCTAACTAGAGGTTTTGTCCGTGAAGAACCCTTCCATCCACTATTGGAAAGCCACGGGAAGACGAACCCCTGAATTATGCGAGCAGTAACAGATGATTGACTGAGTACAAGACCTTCCAGAAGTCCAGGTTTCACATGTTGATCTTCTATCTATTCTACAACCTCTTTCTAATTTCGTCGAAGGGACACAGAAACATGCTTGAAGATGGCCACCGCTTTGGGGCTTGTCCAATCCCCAAATACTCTCCCAACTCTTAGGGACTCTTGACAGATTGTGGTGAGGAGCGAGGCGAGATAGAAGTTTGACAATGATCTGATGCAGAACATCGCCACCAGGAAAGTTGTTGGCATTTAGGCTATCCGGGACCCTCGAAACACTGACACGGGTTGTACACATCATCCATTGGAGTTCCTGTATAGTACTTTTTCCGTACTTTTGTTCCGTCATTTATTCTAAAACGTCCTCGAAGTGACCTCTAAGAATTTCACATTTTTCTGGACCGATAGCCTTCTTTTGAGGTCCTGCAGATTTCCTTGGAGTAGCCTTCTATTGAACGTAACTGTAATGTCTTTTAAAATTAAAATGCGCTTGTCCAGCAACTTTCATTACAAGATTCATCTTATCCCAGTTTTCTACAACTATGGTTCTGTCAGAAATACAATACCACTATCCTGGGTCCTGGTTGCAAACTCGCCCCATTTGTTCCCAAAACTAAACATGTTAGTATATCACAGTATTAGGCTGCACTGGCGTGGTGCTCAAAAGTGTCTCCTTCTCAACGCGTCACCGCCTTCGAGCGCAAGGGATGTGCTCGTGCTCACACGACTTCCGACTGGCGGCTGTTCGCAACTCTGGTCTCGTCGTTGCTACGGCACTATTTTTCTCATTTGCCCTTCCCCCCTCCCCCCACCCGTTGGACTTAATTATAGGCTTGCTTGCTTACAGAAGTCTGTCCATACAATATAACAATACACCAGTTACGCTTAGTTTGGTACACACCGTTTTGAATTGAATGCTGCTGTCGTATAGCTGTAACCGTCAAGCCACAAGCGTGACTGAGCGGTATCTGACCTCGATCCTATACGGAAACTGGCCAAACAAGATGTACTCGTGTTTTATGGCGCTTACATAGCATGTGGTAAAGCAGATGCGCAATACTTGAAGATTATATTCCAGGCACATACACGCACAACACGAATGCCCAAATACGACTCAGCTGACTGCTGACGACGAGATGAGCAGGCATGTGACGTAAAGCGCAACGACCTTCAACGATCGCTTGTGTGCGTGCTGCGTCGAAATTCCCGATCACATGAGCCACCACTATGATGTCTGCTGGTAAATTGGGTGATTTAGAAGAAAAGAACGAGTCAGAACTGATTTGCCGATTGTAAGTATAGCACAAACGAAAGTTGGTGGTTTTACATTTTTTCAGTACAACGGTTTACATAATCCGATAAAAGCATCACAACTTCCATCAACCAGGTCAATTTGAACCCCGTAGTGATAGTTTTCGACAAAACGTTTAAGGACAACCAATTCCCGGTTTATCATATTTATGTGATTCTACTAAGTGAATTATGACCATATTCAATTATATCTTTAGAGCAATACTCAGAATGGATGGAACTGGAACTCGTGTACCGTTTTCTTGTTCGGAAATAATTGAGCTATTGTCTGAGAGCAGTCTCATCTACTTGTGCATATGTTCGAACCCCGGAAGTATCGATTTCTTTTGATCACTGACAGTTTCGTTGTTACCTAACTCAGTACGAGGCGTTATTGTGCAGGTTCGAGGTGATACACCGGTTACACAGTAAAACTCCGTTTATGTTCCTCAGTACGGCATGATACGCAAAAGCCAGCAAGAACAGTTGGTTTGGTGTTTTGTTCCCATTACCAACGCCTCGATTGCTGTTAGATAGCATGGTGATAGAGCAAAGGATCCTGGTAGACATTATGGACAAGTAAACAAAGCGTTTGAATTCGGATCTGAGGATTGCCGGTTGGAGTACTGCCAAGGTCTCTGCACTTTCCCCTTGGCCTGAGCAACCTGACCGTCTAACCTCAACTTACATATCATAAAACGTTTTCTCTGTTACGCACATTAATGTAACGTGACTTGTTTGGCCCAAGGTCTGCACTCAGAGATGTGAAAAAATACTATATTCGGAATGGTGAATGTACTAAATTGCTCCCAGGTGAAAATAAGAGCGATGGTATCTTCAGGCAGAAATACTGAAGCTTCTTAGTCTGACTCCAACTGTTATTTTTTGTTTCACAACCCCTTTATAGAACCTTTGATATTCCTGAATAAATGACTAAAATAAAGAGGAAAAATGAGGTCATTCAAACCGGAAGGGGAAATAATGGTCAATTTTTCACAACTGTCCTGAATTTCCATTTTTCGGGTGACAATCGCTTTATTGGAAGTACATTTCAGATGTAACCACTTTATGTAGCATTAGAAATTTATATTCAACGTTACTTTGGATTCA